CATCCATCCATCCATCCACCCATCCATCCATCCATCCATCATCCATCCACCCATCCATCCATCCATCCATCCATCCATCCATCCATCCATCCATCATGTACCTTCAGGATACCAGCTTGTTGGTTTCCTGCTCCTAATTTATACATAAAAACAATACATATGCATAAATGAAAAATTATACCACTTACCCTCATCACAGTGAAAACCCGGCCAGTTGGTGACCAGGCAGTTAAACTGATGAAATGGATGATTTCAGACTGACGGTGTTAATATAAGTTAGTGTAGAACAAAGGTCGGACTTGTCATTTCTTCAGATATTTCCCATCGGTCTGAGCAGTGAATGAGTGGCTGTCGTCATGTGGTGAAGTTAGGAGATAAGAGGCCGGTCAGTACAAATCAATGAAGAGAGAGAGAGAGAGAGAGAGGGATGAAACGAGGTGAAAGGATGGCGGTGAACACAGAGCAACAGCACAGGGATAAAGGGATTTTTGCATGTTAATCTCCAGTTGAAATTAGATTTTCACTTATTTGCATACGAGTTGGGAATCAAAGTTCAGCACCACAGACAGTTCGGTCAGTTGCTCTAAAGGGGAGGAAGGATAAATCAGCACCACAGACAGTTCAGCACCCGTCAGAGGGTTCCACTCTGAGAGAGGTGAAATCAGGACCACGGACAGCTCACCCCAACAGTGAGAGGCAGCGCAGGATCTCTGTCCAGGGTGCTGCAGATGGCTGCTGTACTACTTGTACTTGTACTTTTTTTGGTGATTAATACTACGCAACAGTCCAGTGTTGACAATGCTTTAACCCACTACCTCTCAAATACTGGGGCGGGCCCCCGTCAGGGGTCGCGGCGAGGTGCCGGCGGGGGGGCTTCCAATGTAATATGGCACGCTGGACATAAGTGTACCACTGCTGTAAAGCCTCCAGCCACTAGGTGGCAGCAACTTATACAGTGGATTGTACGGATAAAAATATACATGTTATATCAGGTTCTCAGTAGTGTTTCTCCTTAATGGACTTTACGTCATTTATTATTGATATTTTCATTTGTAAGGAGTCAGTGAGGCAAGTCGCGAATATGTCGGGCATTATGGGAAATAAAATTTATGCTTGACCAGTGCTCAATTACAAATGTATTTATTTAATTTGCTTGCCGTGCATTTCTTAACACATACAGTATTTGACCACTGCATTTTACCCATGCAGTAAACATTAGAATACACTAATAGTATACTAAAAAAAAATTTATATTTATATATTATCATATCTATATTGAAATATAGATATGACCTAAATGATGTGGCCCGCGGGCCTGTAGTTTGACATATGGCCAGTAGAAGAACCCATTGGTTTCTTAATATTTTTTTTTATATTTCCACGTCCTGAAATAATTATGCTTTGGAGCATTACCAAAAAATGAAGGTATGACACTGAACAATAGAAAACTAAAATTAACTTGGATTTTTTCCTTGACTTAAACAGGGAGTTGGTCCAATAGGTATGGAATAATGCATTACAGAACCTGCCACATACTGTATCAACGTATATATATAAATTCTAATGTGTATACGGTAAATGTCCCCGGTGGGTTTTCTCAACGAATCTTGAAAAAACCGGTTGAGTAGAGCTGAAGTTAAGAAGTGAGAAAATGAAAATGAATGAATAAGGTAAAAGGAAGATTGTGAGGAGACAGCCGAGCTGAACTGAACCACTAGGGAGCGCCGGGCGCAACTCCTACAGATATGATGAACTTTACCACCGCTCTCTCTTTCTCTGTCCTGCCTCAACAGGTTGGCTCCACGAGCTGGCAAAGCGACTGGGTACGCCGTACTTCCCGTCCTCGCTCCTCCCCCCCACGGTCAGCAGCTTCCTGTCCAACGCCAGTAGCATCAGCAACATCAGCATATGCAGTGACAACAGCAGCAGCAGCAGCAGCAGCCATTGGCATGTTTTAGGATCAGAGGTCGGAGGACAGGGATCCTGGAATTCCAGCCAGTATTATGGAAACATATCAGGGACCCAGGCTGCGTCAGGGGCCGGGGGAGCCGCTGGTGGAAGTCTTGCTGACCTGGGTGGTGGGCCGTCCATGCGCAGCAGCTACGTGACGTCGCTGTACTTTGCCCTGAGCAGCCTGACCAGCGTGGGGTTCGGAAACGTGTCGGCCAACACTGACTCAGAGAAGATCTTCTCCATCTGCACCATGCTCATAGGAGGTAAACAATGGCTCCTTGTCCTTTTCCCAATTATTCATTCATTCTTTTCCCCGTGGGGGACTGTGGTACGGCTTATTCTGAAACACACAAAAGTCAATGCCAGTGGAAAATCAACAACTGAATGAAATCTTTTTCCAGTAAAACTTATGTTAGCTTAAGTTTGTTTCCTCAGAGCTTTATGGTAGAAGTTTTGGTGTTTTGCAGATTCTTTATCTACAACATCTTTGCCATTAGAGAAAATCAACAATTCGGACGCGATATCGCCCCCTACACTCTATATCAGGCATGGGCAAACTAAGGCCCGGGGGCCAGATGCGGCCCGTTCAGCTTCATAATCCGGCCCGCCAAACTTGTCCAAATTATATAATTGGTTTGTATTGTGATTATACTTATGCCTTTTCCCTGCAATGCGCACGTTTTCCCTATAGATGGCGTAAGAGAAGGCTAAAAGTATTTTAGCAGTTTAGCATGTTAGCATGCTTAGTGCGTAAAAGCAGTCCACTATAATGGCCACTGTATCCCACAATTCACTGCGAAATCTAGTGTGCAATAATGGTCGCTGGTCACTACCCGAGCAATATATCCCATCATGCATCGTTTTTTTTTTTTAATTGCGCGACAGTAATGACCCCATTAACTGCGCTCTGAAGTAGTGTCTGAAACTGTTTTTCATTTTATAGTGCCTTTTTATGGTTCGCGACCCAAAGAGTACAAAAGTATCGACACTCGTTAATGTTAGCGTTACGCTAACCACTTGTTGTCCGCACACTAGATGCGCCAGAACTGGGATGCTGCTGGGTGATTGGCTGAGGGTCTCATGCAGTGTTTGGTGTGCGTCGGGCGTCTCATGCGCTCGGCTGAGCGGCGCTAGTAGTGGCAAGAATTGGTAGTACTCGCGTGTGTGCGTGTTCGCAAATGGAAGCGCCGTTCGTGAAACTAAGCAAAATGTGTTCGAAAATAGTGTTCGTTGTTCGAATTGTTCGTGAATAGGGACGTTCATGACCCGAGTCATCACTGTATAGGGAGTAGGGGATGAGGGAGTGATTTCGGACTCAAACGTCCACAATCAAAATGGCTGCCAAACAACAAAAAAACATGAGCATAAATCTATTTTCTTCACATATGAGGATAATAATAGCCAAAATATGAATATTTATTTTATTGGGTCAACTGGCGGCTACGAGGGATATGAATATTTATTTTATTGGGTCAACTAGCGGCTAAGAGGTTGTACGCTGGTTTTCCGACGCCGTAAACACAACACAGTGTTCAAATGTCTCACTTCTTCAACCAACCACACTTCAGGTTGCCAGTAATCAGGTGTCAGTGAGACATGGAAGCCCAACAGAGCCGAGCGTGTTGTATTGTCTCACTTGAAATGGTACCTTTTTTTTTTCTTTTTTTTTTATTATATGTGTGACAAATGTAAGACACGCACACAATTACTCCCGTGTTGCGCTCACGGATTTGATTGAGAATTTTCATCATGTCTTGGCTCTGTGTCTGTTTGCATTAGGGATCATTAAAACCCGCCAGAAGTTAGGCAGCCAGTCAAAGAAAGGAACAGTGACAGTTTTTCCGTCTCATATTTGAAGCCAAGATATAACAATCATAATATTTATGAATCATTTAGCAACTTTTTTTTTTTTTTTGCCAGAAGGGACTGTTTAAAAAGAACAAAACCTGTTTCAACTCCCGTTCTTCAAAACATTGCATCAGTACTTTACACATAAATACTTCTTCCCCGAGAGTTTCTCCGTTGACTGATGTGAACTCCATTGTTCCGAGATAAATAAAGATGGGGGGGGGGGGAGAAAAAGCAGAACTGAAGTTGAAAGTGTCATTTATTTTAGGATGTGCTCTCTATTTTTAAAACTTCTTATGTGGAAAAAACTCTACTGTGTTCTCAGCTCTGATGCACGCCGTGGTGTTCGGCAACGTGACCGCCATCATCCAGAGGATGTACTCGCGCCGCTCGCTCTACCACACCCGCACCAAGGACCTGAAGGACTTCATCAGGGTCCACAGACTGCCCAAGTCCCTTGAGCAACGCATGCTGGAGTGTTTCCAAACCACGTGGTCTGTCAACAACGGCATCGACGTGAACGAGGTGAGAAGCGACGCGGAGACAGAGCGCACATCCGACGCTGTAGATTACAAGTTAATCCATATAATCTTTGAATATGAAGCAAGTTCCACTCAGACTTCATTAACAGCGGCTTTTTCTTGTTTGTTTTTTTTTTTTTTTTTTTTTGTTCTCCAGCTCCTCAAAGATTTTCCTGATGAGCTGCGGGCCGACATCGCCATGCACTTGAACAAGGAGCTACTGCAGCTGCCGCTGTTTGAGTCAGCCAGCAGGGGGTGCCTGCGCTCGCTCTCCCTAATCATCAAGACCTCCTTCTGCGCCCCGGGCGAGTTCCTCATACGGCAGGGCGACGCCCTCCAGGCCATTTACTTTGTTTGCTCGGGGTCCATGGAGGTTCTGAAGGACAACACGGTGCTGGCCATCCTGGGTGAGTGACAGGAAATGACACGTGCTTAAAGAAAGTCGTGCACTGCAGAACAATTGGTCACAAGGAGAAGTTCACAAATGTTGTGTTATTGCACTATTTTTGCTCTGTTGTCGGCTTGCTTTCAAGATTTACCAACTCTATCTATTTTTGCATCGGGGTTCCCAACCCCAGGTTCGCGGACCAGTGCCGGTCCGTAGTTAATTTGGTGCTGGGTCGCAGTGGGACAAAATGTACTTCTAATTTACTTCATTTAAAAATAATCCCTTTACTTTTTCTGTGGCTATCCTTTGGGTTAACTCAGAGGTTCCAAAAGTGCAGTGTGCGCCCCCTAGGGGTGGCGGAGTGCCGTTGCAGAGGGGCACGGCTGGCATGAATGAATGAATTTTTGGGTTGGAGCGAGGCGTGGACATTTTCTGGAGTGGAGACTTACCACTGGGTTAGCTGTTAGCTGTTCTTGCTATAGTTTTGGCAGTCTTGTTTTTTTGAAACACCCTAGTGAATAAAAGTGGACACAAAGGATGAGCTGGGAACGTGGTAGTTCCTGTAATTGCTCTGGATTCCAACCTGCAACCCTCCAATCGCAAGCCTTGGAGAGGTGATATTTCGTATGTAAATATAACCAACCATATATTTCTTCCTTTAGCGTTTTAAAATTTTTTTTTTTCCTATTTATTCTTCTTCAAATGTCCAAATCTGACAGCGTCATCTTCCTTCACTTTACATTTCAAATAAACCCCCGAAATGAGAAAGACAAAAGTTAATCAAACAGTTTAGCAAAAAAAAAAAATAATAATATGAGATTTAATTTTCCAGAATGTTGGGGTTCATAAACCACAAATAACGCGTACACTTTTATGACAGCGGCGGCTTTAGAATCAGCAGCGGCGTCTCTGACTTTGGCAGACAATTAACCGTCAGAGGCGCCGAGTGTGAGAGCGGATGTAAGCTGATGGTGATCAGTGGGACTCCGCGCTGAATAGATAATGAAGGTGAGAATCATTCATTTGTGGAAGGAAGGTGGTGATAAGAGACACTCTGTTTGATAATAAACGCTGGGAAGAATGGAGTCTGGGCCATTTGAAGAAGGAGGGGGAAAGGATATGGAGAGAGAGAGAGAGAGATCATGTCGTGGTTCAGTGATTAGACCCGGGATAATTTCACAGTGCTGGGTTTGATTCATACAATCAGAGAAATTGCAGAGAAAGCTAAAGTGGATACAAGTGGAAATTAGGTTGATGACGAAAGGGGCGAAACGCGAGCGAAGAAAAGGAGGAGAGCAGGGGGGAAGAGGAGGGGAGACGTGGAAGAAGAATGTGTGTTCAACATCGACAGGGCTGAAGGAGAGCTGATAAGGACTGGCTGTCTGTAGGCTGATGTACACACACACACACAGAGAGAGAGAGGGGGAGAAAAAGGAGAAAACAAACCAAGCAGGAAGTTAGGGTTTAGGATGGATCCATTACCGTTTGATCGCAAAAGCATTTTTCGACTTGTAGCTAAAACATCAGAGCAGAAAGTGTTGGGCGGGAATTGGATTTTGTTTTGGAGACGATCGGTTTTCTAAAGCACTTTTTATAGTGGTTCTCAACCTTTTTTTTTTGGCTCTTTGACTCCATTTTGACATCGCACGTTTTTGGCGCCCCCCCAGAGACGTCACGTGATCGCAGCCGTCAATCACGATGTTTTGTTATTATATGTATTTATTTTTATTTGAACTCAATTTCTATACGTGAAAGTGAAATAATGCAGTTTGTAACGACAATTTCAATAAGAATAATAATTAGTAGGGATGTGCGATGTTAGCTTTTTGCCGATATCCGATATGCCGATATTGTCCAAACACTTAATTTCGAATTCCGATATCAACCGATAGCATTATATATGCAGCCGTTTTTCCCCATAACGAAATTTAGGTCACTTCACATATGGTATTAACACATTAGCTACTGTACTTCTAGTGATGCACCACTAGAGGCATTCCACAAATTAGCATTATTGTTTGTTTTTTTTGATTATCGGAGGAAAAGCCGCTAACGATTCTTACAATATTACATAATTATGCTATTATCCGGGCGATAATATCAGCGAACTGATATTATCGAAATCTCTAATAATTTGTTAAAAATATTTTTCTATTAGTAATTTCTTTTTACCAATTGCTAGGCGACCCCGTTCGGATTCCTGGCGACCCCTTGTGGGGTTGCGAACCCAAGGTTGAAAAACAGCACTACTACTACTGCCCCGTGTGGTCATTTTTTATTTTTGTCTCACGAGATCACCAAATAAATTTTTGGACATTAGCAGACTTTAGCAGAGAAGAGTTGCCAGATTACCTCAGTTTACATCTGTTTCTAGTCAGACGTTGCCGACTGCAGTGTACGCTCGACATTTTAACGAGAGATTTTGAGAGAGATGTCGAATTTATGAACTGAGTCTTTTTGTTAAAGTGTCTTGGAATCATTCCTGTTCTTGGGCGTGATTTTTTTTTTTCTCAATGCCTCCAAATTTGTGTTTGGCCGGGCTTGGTCGTTGGAGACACAGATGTTACAACTGGACAGGTTCTGGCTGCCGTTTCGGGAACAAGTACTGATTCTCATTACAACAGTACATTCTGAGTGTGCCAGGAGGGAGAGAATCCAAGGTTTATCCTTGGAATGTACTACTCTCTGTGTATTTTTTGTTGTTGTTTTGTTTTGTTTACTAGTTTGCTTCGGCGATCGGGAATTATCGAGATCATATGTCCGCAGTGACATGGGTCGTCGGGGATGTCGCAGGAAGATTTGTGCTCCAGCTGAATATAAGTCTAGGCAGAGAGAGTGTGTGTGTGTGGGAGAGAAATAACTGGCAGCTCCGGCTCCGGCTCCGGCTCCAGTTTGGCTGCATTTACACCTCAGCCACAAAGTTTTCAGCCGCCAGCACAACACTTCACAAATCATTTATTTATGCATTTTACATGACCCGCACTTCAGTTATGGGCCCGTGCTCATTAATCAACAGTCTGCCTAATGTGACTGCTGCAGGAATACAATCCAATTTTCTTTATCAGGAAAAACACACACACATGCACAGGGGATGCATATGCGAGCGTATGGACGAGCTGGACAGAGCTCATCAATCTGAATCGATGTGACTCGTGTCTTTATGAGCGGGGCTGCCAAACGTATGGCCCGCGGGCCAAAGCCGGCCCGATAAGGTGTTGGATCCGGCCCAGCTTGACGAATTTTGACCTATCCTGAACATGAAATGTTTTTTTAGTTAGGATATAGTTTTTGTAAAATAAATATTATTTTAGTTTAATCAAATATGAATAAATATTAATAATGAATATTTAATATACTTGTACTTTCTTTGGATGAAAACAAAACATGGACTTATTGTAATTTTCGAATTTATTGTCTTATGATTGTGCTGGTCCTGCCCGCTTCAACGACAACAAATTAGGATGTATGCCGCCCATGAACTAAATTGAGGCCAAACTAAGGCCCGGGGGCCGGATGTGGCCCGTTCAGCTTTTTAATCCGGCCCACAAAACTTTTCCAAATTATGTAATTTATTTATATTATCATTATACTTCTGCCTTTTCCTTCCAATACTTACATTTCCCCAATAGATGGCGGAGACATTTCTAGAAGCATTTTAGCATTTTAGCCTTTATGCATGACTTTTACATGTCATTTATCTTCACACGAACGCTCCATCTATCTGCTCCTGACGCGGCCCTCCCTGTTCAAGATTAGGACCAATCGTGGCCCGCGGGTCAAAACGTTTGCCCACACCTGATGTAGACTGTACGTATATTGCACATGAGCTGCGTAGTTTCAGTGCTGCTGAGGCCAAGTCAACCACCAGGATGGAGAAACGGTGGCTCAACGTCAGCCGTGAGTTTTTTTTTGAACAAGAAACGAGGTAGAAAGGGCGAGGGAGATCTGAGAGAGGGGCGGGGCATCTGTTGATTTTTAGAACCGATGTTCATATCACGACGTTTGTGAAAAGGTCAAGTATTCAAGTATCAATGATGTGTGTGTGCGTGCGTGTGTGTGTGGGTGTGTAATTAATCCTAATCTTCAAATGCCATCCCATTGTTTGATCCTAATTGACTTTCTCTGCTTCTTTTTGCCATGTCTTCTGTTCCTCTCTATCCCTCCTCCCTCTACACCCACCTATCTGCAACGATTGCTCCCCCCACAACCTCCCCTCTCTCTCTCTCACTCTCTCTCTCTAACCCTCTCTTTTTCCCCTCTTCCACCCTTCTTCCCCCTGCCTCTCCTGCTTTCTTTCTTTCTAACTCTTTCTCTCTCTCTTCTTACCTCACTCTTGGTGTCTCTCGTCCTCGTTCTGCCTTTTGTCTGCTTCTCTCTTTTTTTCCTCATCCTAATGTCCCTCTCCCTCTCTCTCTCTTTTATTTCTAAAACCCCCCTTCACTCCTCTTTCTTCCCTCTTCTTATCTCAGTCTCCCTATTTTCAGGGTGATTCCCCTCTCCCTCTCTCTCTCTCCCTCTCTCTCCCTCTCTTTTTTCCCCTCACCCGTAGAGTCACTGGCCTCATTAATAAAAAAATCTGTTTTTCATTTTCAAACCACTGGACTGGATGATGAATACAGGAGTCCAGCAGCGATCCGGAAGCTGCACCGCGGTTCATCCCGACATGACCTTTTACTGACCACCTAGAGAGACCACAGAGACTTCATGTGGGTCTTTAACACCAGAATAACTGGAAGTTCTAAAATGGGCCCAGCACTCACCTCACAGCCTTTAAAAAAAAAAAACATAAATATAAAGAGATTAAATTAACCTTTCTGAAACTGAGAGCTACTTCAAGGGCGCTTAGTAATACAGAGAGCTACTTGGTTTGTTACAGACGTCCTGAACAATGTAATAATAATTAGTTCTGGGACATCCAATAGTAGACACTCTTCTTACCATCGTCGTTGAACCCATTTGAATATCACTGCAAGTGGAACTGATTCAAAAAGCACAGTAACAGTACATTTTTTGACCCTCTTGTTGACTAGTTTTATTTCTAGAACATACCCTCTAGAACGACCCATGTCGCCCCCGGCGTCATATTGATGACTCCTGATGAACTTTGACTTTAATCTCGTAAAATTATGACTACGTTTTTTTTTTTTTTAATAGCTCCTTTGTGAGATCAGTTATTTTGTCTACTATATGAATCACATCAAAAATGAATTAACTCTATGGACAGATCCATCTATCTATCATCCATCCATCCATCCAACCATCCATCCATCCATCCATCTATCCATCCATCCATCCATCCATCCATCTATCCATCCATCCATCCATCCATCCATCTATCCATCCATCCATCTATC